CCCTGATCTCCTCTGGGAGCTCGTTCCACCAGGTAGGGGCCACAGCCGAAAAGGACCTGGCCCTAGTCACGGTGAGCCCTGCCTCCCGGGGGCCTGGAACCACCAGGCGATGTTGTGCCCTGGACCGAAGTGCTCTTGGGGGTATATGTGGGGAAAGGCAGTCCCTCAGGTAAGTCGGACCCTGGCTATATAGGGCTTTAAAGGTAAGAACCAGCACTTTGAAACGGATTCGGTATGCTATTGGCAGCCAGTGCAGCGCTTTCAGCCCAGGCTGGATGCGCTCCCAGTTGGGGAGATCCATCATCAGCCTGGCTGCCGCATTCTGCACTAGCTGCAGCTTCCGGATCTGCACCAAAGGCAGCCCCATATACAGAGCGTTACAGTAGTCTAACCTCGAGGTGACCGTTGCATGGATCACTGTAGCCAGGTCATCGCGACCGAGGAAGGGAATCAACTGCTGAATCAGCCTAAGATGATAAAATGCTGATCCGGCAGTGGCTGCCACCTGGGCCTCTATAGTTAAGGAGGGATCCAGGAGCACTCCCAAACTTCTAACCTCCGATGCTGGCACCAACGGCGCCCCATCGAAGGTCGGGAGAGGGAGCCCCAACCCCGGTCCGCTCAGGCACAGGACCTCTGTCTTTGCTGGGTTTAGTTTCAGCCGGCTCAGCCTGAGCCACCCAGCCACGGCCTGTTACACCCGGTTCAGATCTTCTGGGTCGGAGCCCGACCGGCTGCCCAACATCAGAAAGAGCTGGGTGTCATCAGCATATTGATGGCAACCCAGCCCAAACCTCCTGGCAATCTGGGCGAGGGGGCGCATGTAGATGACTGCCCCCTGAGGCACACAAGTTTCCCATCCCTTTCTTCCACAAAAGACACTCACATCTGAAATCTGAGGACAGAAAGTCTGCCTCAAGAGTTCTTATGGACAAAGGATGTCACAGAGCATGTGCTTTGTATGCTAAAGATCAGGTTCAATCCCTCTGGAAGCAAGGTCTATGAGAAAGCTGCTGCCAGTCAGAATAGACATTATTAGGCTAGGTAGACCACTGATTTAACTCAATATGATAGCTTTGTATGCTTAAGGACCACACAGCAGCTAGGAAGGCAAAGGGAGAAAGGAAAATCCCCTACCTTCTATCAGCAACTCACCATGTGTTCTCCACTCCTTGCTTCAGCCCAGCTGACCTAAGAGTCTCCCCTCTGCCATTGGCTGAACTGCTGGCACCTTGGAGGCAGCCTGAATGATTCTTGACAGGGGCCAGATGGGGCAATTGACAAATCTTGGGGTGAGGGGCATTTGGGACTCTTAAGCAGCACCCTTTCCCTGCCCCCTTGCAATAGCTTCTGACAGGCAGCGGTGGTGTTTTTTACTCTCCTGTCTGAGCATAAAAATCTGGTATTCTTGCTTTCTCCCATGCACCCTTTAAAAAAAGGCATAGATTCAATGAGAAACAGAATTTAACATTAATGAGTTAACTAATGGTCATCAGACACAAGAGTATCATTGAATGTACGCCGAAGATCTGTGTATTGCATGCATATATCTTAAATATTCATCTACAAATAAAGCTCTTACCTGGAGTGTTTTTTTAAAATTTCCTTTTTAACTTTTGGCTTAGGGAACGTTTGATGATAATGTTTCATACTTGGTGGGCGGTAATGGAAGGTTGAGAATCTCTGGAGGAGAAAAGTTTCCATCTAGCTACCTCTATCTGCTGGAATTCCCTAAACATCACAGAGCTTTCACCTTTGCCCAACTTAACGTGCCTTGCTCGATGGGAGATATGCACATATCCTGTGTGTGAAACGTCTCTGTCCTTGTCAATCCAGTTTGATAGAAACAGTTGAGCATGTCCTCCTATATCGCCAGTTTTACCAGAACATTCGGATTTTGTATATCACTCCAATTATGTCCAAAATCCAGGCAGATCCAATCAATTTTATGTTTTACTGCTTCTGACTGACCGTTATGATGAAATTACTATAAAGGTAACAAAATTCTGTGCTTTGGCATATTCAGTCAGGCAGAAGAATATCCTCTTGTTTTAACAGATTTTATTCTAGCAAATGCATATAAATGTATATTTTTTGTCATGCCCAGCATGACCAGAACAAATTTTATCTTGGCAAATATGCTGTTCTATTTAGTACTAGGAGTAAGGGCCATTGTGGGAAGAAATACAATGAGTTCTAGAAGGAAGCTCTAGGTGAGTGTCCCGGCTGTGGCTGGTGGGATGGCAGAGGGAAGGGGAAAATAGAGGGAGGCAAACCATGGTTATTTCC